ATTATACTCAATAGATTTAGAAGATTTTTGTCTTGAAGCTATATCATTCTTGCTGAAGCAAAATAATTTTCTGTCTGACAATGTATATTATTTCCAGAAATGTGGTGCTTCCATGCATGCAAAATTTGCTCCCACATATGCCAACCTGTATATGGGCTGGTGGGAAGAAGACCACATTTTTGGAGATGAAGGGCTGTATAGAAGTCAGATTAAGTTCTTCTCAAGGTACCTAGATTACCTAATTTTTATGGTACAACATGATTGATCCGTTTAAAATTTTGAATAATAATGAGTAGGTTCAGCATATGAATTACCTGGATCTCAGTCTAAATCGTTGTGGTATCACAAATAGTATTTATGTTCAAACTTATGTAAAATCAACTTCCAGAAATTCTCTTCTCCGGGCAGACAGTTGTCATCCTGATCATGTTATGGGGGCTATAGCTAAGGTCCAGTTTATAAGAGCTAGACGTAATTGCTCTCACATGAGTGATTTTGAGAGAGAGCAATGCAGAGGAGGTTCCTGGAACGAGAATACAACAAATTGACCGTTACCAGAGCTTATAATCATGCTAACTACATTAAAGGAGAACTATGGGGTTAGGGCTTTTCTCCATAGTTCTCCTGAGGGTCACAGGAGAACACATTGCTGTCGAGATCCACCCAGCTGCGGGATTGACAGCTGGCTCTGCCTATCCAGAGGCAGAGCCAGCTGTGCCCGCCCCCTCCCCGTCCGTTCCGCCAGTCAGCGCTGGAGGATCGGACAGGGGAGGGAGGGAATCCATGCAGGGATCCATGAGTGACAGTCACGGCTCTCTGCAGGGATAGATCGAGAAGTGAGCGACGGTATGTGTTCGCTCACTTCCCGATCTACTGAGCCGACCTGTGACAGTTTAATTGTCACATGTCTGCTCAGATTATGAGGCTGAGTGAAAATCACTCACCTCATAATTCTCCTTTAAGGGAGAAGATCTCCTGAGAAGTCAGGCTCATCCTCAGTCAATTATTTTTGCTACACAGTGTAGTGCTCACCCCACGAAGAAGCTGCCAGAATAACCCGGGCATTTCTGTCCCCAAGCCAAAATGTACCGCCCCAAATAGGATCCACAGCACACCAACACACCTTAGGGAGTTTTGTAATCAGTTTTACTCAGCAAATATATAGATCTTATCAAGCATTACATAGGTTATAACAATTGGAAGAGCAATAATCAACAGTATACATCAAGTATTCAGACGCCAAGCAACCGTGGCGTAATCTATATACTGAAGTATGCAGTACTGAACTATCTCAGAAGCTATCTTTAATTTTGAGCACTTGATTGCTAATGTGTCAGTCCCAATTTGTATACAACTCTCTATACTACTGGCCAGTAGCAATAGTCTAGGCTAGCCATCGTTGGGGCCCATACTGTGCTGATGAGGTGAATTGCGGAAATAACACAAATGGGCCAAAGGCCCATCACGCCCTCCCCTTTCTCTCCAGCCAACACTTTGTTGGTCCTGAGGTCATCTGCGATTCCTTTGGAGGTAGTCTCTGGTCATAGAAAGCCGCTGGGAACTCTCTCCCCTTAAATGTCTTCAGGCCTCCTGCCGATTGCTAGGCCTTCCGGAAATTCCTCACTATACCGGCTCGTATGTTCGTCTAGGCTGCGATGTCCCCGCTGTAGCTGTGATGCGATGTCCCACTGGAGCAATCGTCCTTGCAACACTGAGCGCAGCAGACCAGAGGGAGGGCTCTCTCTTTCTCTAGAGGCCCTTCAGTCTGCTTACACTCACATAAACAGTGTTCACACAGAATATGTGGTCCCTCTGCGTCAGCGGCAGCCACTCACATCTGTCTCTTTCACAGGGTTTTCCCAGTCTGCGCGCTCAGCAGCCACAGCCCAGAATCCTCCTCCTGTTCAAAACACACAGCCTTCTGGGAATTGCAGTCTCCACGCTCTCCTACAGCACGGCATGTCCAAGTTTCTGCACTGCAATCCCCACAAGTCTCTGAATCATAGACGTTGTAAAGGTCAGTTAACTATTTACAATTAGAATATTAGTTAGTCACTTATCACACATGTAAATAGGGGCTACAACAGTATACTTTGGAATTTGAAGAACTTAAAAAGATTGTATGCAGATATTTGCTGATGTTTTTATTGAGATTCTGACCTGAGAGAGGTGATATTGTAGCTAGGAGAGCCCATATGTTAGGTAACACCTTATCTCGCAGTTTATATAAATCAAAGGGAAAGAAGAAAAGGTGGGTGAATACAACAGGTGTGTTCAGATGCGGTTCATCTAAGTTTTCCTGTCAGGTGATTCCCACAGGACCATATCTTACATCACAGGTAATCATTTGAAATATAAAAAAAAAAATAGTTAACTGCCAAACAAGATATGTAGTATATGTGATATTTTACACGCTTTGCAAGAAACAATATGTTGGGAGAACAACTAGAAGACTATCAGAGTTATTCACAAAAGGATGAAGAGTTTGGAGAAGGCAGGAGAAGTGAACAATCTAGGACAACATAGCTGAACTGGAAAGTGAGCGGAATTGGAGAATTTTTCCAAATCAGATATTTTGTCACAGATTGTTCACTTCTCCTGCCTTCTCCAAACTCTTCACCCCTTTGTGAATAACCCTGTATGTGATCGGGTTAGAGATCACCTCTCTAATACCCATACAAATAAAAATACTAATGTAGCTAAACATTGTATACATTGTCATGAAGGTGTAATAGAATCCTTTAGAGTTCAAATCATTGAAACAGTCAATCCCCCAATAAGAGGGGGTGATCCCTTCTCTCTGATAAAGAACTCCAGGTTTTTAAAAAACTAACCCTTGCAGTGGGGCTTCCCCTACACCGCAAAAGCAATAGCTTGTTTTGGTCTGTTGGAGCAAATAAAGAAAATGTACTCACCTAAACCGTATTTCAGTCTGGCTGCTAGATCAGTCCCCGCAGGCTCTTCTCCCCTGGGCTCCACTGACTTGCATTAATGCAACATGAACTCATAATTACTGCAATAAAGTTTGGCGCCGGTTGGGCGACTGTTGGCTGTTTTTGGAAATATTGTGGATCGGGTAGAGGCTTGTGTGGTCTGCACACAGTGTTCCCAGGTCTGTTTTCAGATCAGGGTTGGAATTTAGAAGCATTGAGACAGCATACATTCTGGTAAACATATGCATGCTTACCATATACTGTCAGAGGATCTAAAAGAGACACGTGCAAGTTAACTGACTTAACTGAGTCCCCAGTAGCCTTTTACATCTCTTCTCTGTCCTGGGGAAGGGCCCCTTACATTGGTAGTCGGTGAACAGAAGGATGTTACATTACTGGTGAAAAAAATGCTTTTTACATTGGCGGTTAGTGAAAATAATTCCCCTTACACCACTGGTTAGTGGGGAGAATGCCATCCTTATCCTTACAGCAACCTAAAAAGTCAATTGGTGTCATTGATAACTTACCTGAGCAACAAGAGGAGATGCTTCACTTGTGGGGTAGGAAATCAAACCACCCTAAATGGCTTGGATGCAAACAGTGCACATATTTATTGCTAAAATTCCACTTTCACTGAATGTGGCTCCAAGCAGACATGCTAGATGGCATAGCTGAACACTTATATTGGCATTTATGTGCAGACTTCCATGCAATTCTGTGTGCTCCTACTGGAACATACACCCTCCCCAGTGTGGCCTAGAACACATTTAGTTAAAGAAAAGGTCTATCTCAGCATAAGGTCTAGTACAGCATGCCTTATTATACGTAGACCTTAAGAGGTTTTCATCTGGTAATTATTTCTCCACCTTGGCAAACAGCTACACAATGTAAGTTAGATACACTAATAAACCATGAAAATGCTTGTTTCCAAAATAGAATGAATGTGTACAAATTCACCGTATTTTTATAAATGCTTTCTCCCATACATAGTAAGCTATGTGCAGCACATATATATTTTTTGCACATTTCAAATGATCCCTAATCAGTCCATCCTGGAAAAAAACAAAGTCACTATATGTATTAAAATTCACTCCATTCTGCATTAACTGCAAATTTATATATTTTCTATAAAAAGCCAGGAACTGAACATAATAATGCCAGAAAAGTGCTTTTGTCACCATACAAACATTTTATATATAATTTGCACTAAAATAAATCAATTTCACGGATATGGCCTACGGTGGCAGGAATTGAAGGCCTCCTGGAAAAGCCTTGTAGATTTGATTTTTACAAAGCCATGTCAGCTTTCTATCACATAAAAAGACACATCACATTTACTCAACATACAGTATTAGATGGGTTTACTATGTCCCCAGATTAGAAAATAACAACTCACATTGTAGAATCTTTATACACTAATGTACCACATGAGATAAGCTTTCTGGCCATACAGTAAGTACTTTTTACAGATGGAATCTAACTTGGATACAGCTCGATACTATTTTATATAAAACATTTTTTTGCCATACTTTCTATGTTTAAGTGTTGGGAACAGCTAGAGGAGTATATTGTCCTCCATGATATGCCAACCTGTTTCTTGGTTGGTGAGACGGTATAATGATTTTTAGAGATCTTTTTGAACATTACCACCCCACAAATACTTGAATAGTATTGTTGCGAAGACAATATCTTAATTTTCTGGCATGGTTTACAAATCTCAAATTCATGAAGCAGTTACATCAGAATGAATTCAATATCTATCCTTCATCACATTTGACTTATGATGAAATACCAAATAGTTTATTTGATCATGCTACTTTAAGTAATCCATAGTACTGCAAAAGAAAAAAAAAACAATAGTGAAGAAGGACTCCTGATAAAATAGAACTTAAATATAGCACATGGTTAACAGGTGCTATGTTCCCACTATGTTAATCAGGTATGTGTGGGAATAAAGTCAGGTGTTCTACAGCCAGTAGCAGAAAGTTGGGCGGCACAGTGCAGTCACTGAACAGTAAACAGTATATATATACTGACCTGAATAGTAAAAATTCTAACGATTGCAAGATGAAGGGTGTACTGGTATTACTTGCCTTGGTGGCTGCTGTCTACAGCGCCGGGGATTTCAGTGGGTATGTAGAATGCAATGTTCAAATAAAACCTATTTTGCTTTCATAGCTCTTATATATCTAATGTGTTATATTGCCTGTGTTGAGGGCCTTGGGCTTATGTTAATTGTCAAATGTAGTATGCTTTTGACTTTAGTTGGAGAAGCTTCTGACATCATTCAGAATTCATTGGCAGGTGCATCTGACCTGTTTTAAGCTGTGTTTGCATTCTTGTAGACTTGTATGGAGAGAGAAGCGGGTCTGATGCACACAAAAGCCAAAGTACACAGGCCCTTCATTAACTGTAATATTCCCCTTACAGGTTTTTTTTTTTTCTTTTTACGATGGTAAACAGCTGACTGTAGGGAGACAGTAGACTTTGACACTAAGACACTAAAACAAACAGAACTCTACAGTAATACACAAATCTGTCTTTTAGTATGTGTTCAAGAGATGGATTTTAAAGATGGGACCGTGGGTGGAAAGTTATGAACGGTGAGCCAGTCTGGTACTATTGCAGTGCACAATTCTGCCAATCTACCATGTTTTCAGGATCTGGGAGTTGGGTTAGGTGTCTAGACAGCTGACTAAAGTAAGAGAACACAATGAAGACCTCAGCAATATGTTGATTTTTCATGTGCCATCAGGCAATCAGGGACTCACAAACCTGCACAACTTAGATAGTAAATGGTAGAGTCACCATCCTGACTTTGCAATGTGGCAGAACTGTGTTAATCACAAGAATAGCTGAACAGAATCACAAATTCAGAACACATCTCAAATGCATATACCCATTTGATCAGCATTGCACTTTAAAGGATCTATACCAAGGGAACTGTGTAGTAGGTTGCCATTCTTCAACTATCCTTCTAGAAATTTTTATTTTCAGACTATCAATAGCTTTAGTATTTTCTAAGCTGTTGTAAATGCACGGAGACTCGGCGTCCTAACTTCACTTGCTGTATGCTTGTTCTGGAAAGTATTGTAGCCAGAAACAGCCAGGAAGATAACATTTTCACAAGGAGGTCAGCAATGTCAGTCCCTTGTATTTCTTACAATCGAGGTTTCCTTCAATACATTCAGTAAAAGACAACAAAAATTATATATATATATATACTGTATATACACATGTATGTGTGTGTATCAAACCTAATATATACTTGTAGCTTTGTAAATGTAGCCATTGTTTTTTAAAATATCTTTTACCTCCGTTCCTGGAACAACATCCTAGGGACAAATTGAAGTGAGAGACGATTTCTCTAATGTGAAGAAAACCCCTTTAAAAACCCAAAACAAGTGTTCCCATTGGGAGACTTCCCCTCTATCCCTGTTCTGGAGGCAACTTAAAATTTTGGTTTCTCCCTCACTTTCCGTTCTGGTGAAGGTGGTTGCCAGGAGAATTTGTGAATGTGTATCTCCCTAATAGGCACACAGACAGCAATGAAAACCTGACAATGGTAATAAACCCTCAACATTCTATCCAAAACTAAAATAAACATTTTGGCTTAGATACACTTGAATAGGAGAATTTAAAGAAATGAAGAAGCAACGTCTGTGAGTAGCTCCAAATCAGGGTTTACTTGACATATGTGTGTGGGGAGCGATTTACATGATGTCTTGCAGGCCAATTTCAACTCCACCTTAACTCATACAACTTATATAGCTTTATACATCTTATACATCAAGATAAAGATTATACTTACAGCTGGTCAGTTTATTAAACATCCAATCATATAGCTTTACCTCAACATTAGACTGTTACACAAGCTTACATAGCAGGTGTCCAAGATACATAAGTCTAAAACCCCTTAAAATGTCGATTTGTCTCTCCATTAGACTTCATTAAATTATCTTAAAATGACGGCTGGCAACTTATCAGGAGTAACAACCGGTCAATCAGCCAGCGGGGTGGATCTCGACAGTATTGCGGGCAATCCATCCCTGGCTCTCAGCATCTAGCGGGCAATAGCCTGCTATATGCTGAGTTTTGGGTCACCGGAGGACAATAGTATATGTCTTCCTGTGACCCTAATGAGAACTATGGACAAAAAAGCCCCATAGTTCTCTAACTTATAGATGTTTTATGGTATTAAACCATGCTTCATACCAACCCATAATATAAAATACATGTAAGCTGTAATTGTATAGTGCAATATTTTTAAACTTCTCACTTCAATTGTCATATCACTTACTTCTGGTAGCGCCTTATCTTATACCATATTTACTAAACAGTCTTACATATTGAGCTACAGTTCATAATATGTTTCATTCAGCAATATATCAAACTGAATATTATAAGAGAGGTTTGAAATTGAGATTCGGCAGAGATCATTATTTCTCCCTACACACACACACTTTAAACAGCACTATTGGAATTAACGTAGAGTTAAAAATCAAATTTGATTAAACACTGGTGTGAATGTGCCATTAACATTATCTATTAATGTGCTTTCAGACAGCAAGTCCTGAGAATCCTCCCGGTCAGTGAAGGTGAAGTAAACCTGGTCCGGGACTTGGAAAACTTTGAGAACCTGCAGGTAATTCCATGATTTTTTTTTTTTTAATCGTTTGCTATATCAATCAACTAATTGACAAGAGTCTATGCTATTTAATCCTATATACTTCCTCTTGCAGGTTGACTTCTGGATGGAGCCCTCAAAGCCCAACAGATTCATTGACATCCGTGTGCCATTCTACAACCTCCAGGATGTCAAGGTCTACCTGGAGTCCAACAACATCAAGTACAGTGTCATGATCCAGGACTTGCAGGTGCCTGATGCCACAATAAACAACTTCTTTGTGACCACAAAATGACTTTTTCAAATTCAAATGTAAAATGCCCCTTGCTGTGTGAACATTATTAACCCTGCTGCAGAGAACTAGGAATGCACAAGTATGTGTGTTCCTAGTTCTCAGACCCGCTGTGAAATATATAAATTATTTATTATTGTCAAGTTATTGACAATTGTATTGTTCCCCAGGATCTAGCTGAAAGGAGGCGGTGGGAGCACAGTAGCTGCAATGTCTACTTTAAACCCAAGAAACAGTTATAGTGCTGTTTTTTTGCTTTTTTTTCAAATCTGCAGATTCAAAAGTGCTTGCTGCTGCATTTACTGCACATAATAAGCCCAAGTGCAATCAAGAATTATGCTTTTACATGCTTTTGTTAATGAAGAGGCATTTTTTATTTATTTTGTCTAGTGCTATATATTTATTTACTTTAAATAACTGATTATTTTACTTGTATTTTTAACATTCCGTATATATATATATATACTTTTTTTATATTATAACAGTATTTTCTAAATGCAGAAGAAAGAGAAATGAAGAGGAGTCGTGCCGTGGAAAATTCCCGTTCCACTGACACCTTTAACTATGCTGCCTACCATACATTTGATTCGGTATGACTATGTTTCATTTGGTTAAAAAAATTAGCTTTGCATAGTTAAATATAGTCTTTGTAACCCACCGAATGGTCATCTTCTTGCAAAATCATACCTCTAAATGATATTGTATTATATAGGCTTGGTGACCTTTCTCTCTGGTCTGTACCCGACCGTACATAGACAACGGTCTTCATTAATCGTAGTTTGCCACTCACTCTGAACTACCAAATGACTATGTTTTTGAAAAGCTTACAAAGCAATTATATGTTCCTTTAGATTAACAACTTTATTGACACATTGGTGGCTGAAAACCCTAACTTGGTGAGCAAAATTCGGATCGGCAGCAGCTATGAAGGTCGCCCACTCAATGTCCTCAAGGTGAGTGATATATAGTTTTTGCAAAATGAATGTATGCAAAAGTACATAGCAAATCGTGTTGTTCCTGTTGAAGTTAATGTTCTCAAATATCCTTGTATAGTACAGTCAGTGACTGTAGTACTCTCACAATATAGATTAAAGGTAAGCTAAAACACACATTTAAAGAGTCTTTCCACCCACAGGTTTACTTCTGTTTACAGTTGGAACCTGGTGAGATAAGCCACACCCCGGGTTTCTAATAGCTCTTGGAAATCCCACAGTGGTATTATGTGCCTGGCCAAAATTCCAGGCTTTGTCCTTACTTGATGTGGACTTCTGGATGATTTCTAGGGCTGCAACAACTAATCGACATAATCGATTATAATCGATTATTGAAAAAGTTGTCAACTTTACATCCACATTTTATATAACTCAAAATACATGAAGCACCCAGAACACAGAGCGAGACCCCCTCAGATTGGTTACAACTGCCTTGCAGGACTGGGAACTAGCCTTGGAGGTCTCCCTCCCAAAATCTCCAAGATACAAGTAACTAGCTGCTAGGTGCTTTATCTCTCCAGCATCAACCAAAACATGGAAAAGGAGTTTTAGGTGGACTGACTTTTTAAGAATCAGTGCACAAAGAACACAGTAATACAGAACAGATTTCTATTAGATGCTCCTGTATTTCAATAGTCAACAGATCTGATTCACATTATCATGAAATGGATCATACTGTGGTACTTTTTGGTACTTCTTATGACAATTAACTAACATTTGCAAGATTACCTGTGCTTTGAAATAATTTTAACACAAATGTGTTGCCTTTCCTTTTCAGTTCAGTACTGGAGCCAACCGCCCAGCTTTCTGGATTGATTTTGGAATTCATTCCCGTGAATGGGTCACTCAAGCCACTGGAGTCTGGACTGCCAAAAAGGTAAATAACCATAATTCATATATTTCTTAGTCTGGATTAGATTAGTGTATCATTACAGCACACATTTTTGGGGTATAAAACAAAGATAGTCTGGCAACAGCCAGGCAACCAACTGTTTCAGAACAGTGGTCAGGAATGGCAGCCCAGGTATTTCTCTCATAACAGGTTCATTTTAAGCTAACATATGAGAAATTTTAGGCAAACATATCAACAATGTAAAAAGAGGAGCATGTTTTCGTATGACATTCTTTCATAATGAAATGCATAAACTATTGAGGGATTTGAAAAATATGGAAGCTATAAACATAACTGAAAGTCCAATAAAAGTAATGCTTGAAAAGAATAAATTATACAATGATTTTCCTTTGTGTATCTTCTTACACAGATTGTCTCAGATTATGGCAAGGATGCCTCTCTCACAGCCACCCTGAACAAATTGGATATCTACCTGGAAATTGTCACCAACCCTGATGGCTATGTTTACACCCACACAAGGGTAATTATGCTGTGTGCTCTTTTATGTTTTCCAGCATATTACCATAATTATGGTGTATTTGTTGGATTTATATAATCAGCAAAAACATTAGCATTTACATATTAAATAATTGATCCTTATTGTTACAGGACCGTATGTGGCGTAAGACCAGATCTCCCAACACTGGCTCTACCTGCGTAGGAACTGACCCCAACAGAAACTGGGATGCTGGCTTTGGAGGTAAAAATTGCTGGTTTTCCATGTCATAGCCTGTGAATAATTTAATCTTCACAAGAACACTGAAGCTAGCGGCAGAAAGGAAAGGACTTGATGTGTCAAAAGATAAATTCCTAAATTCCCTTATGAATGTAAATTATATTTTTCGGGGTAGTTAATTTTGCTTACAGCATGGCATCGACATTCAGTTTAAGGCATTTCATTGCAATGTGCATCCAAAAGGACCATGGGGGGGGGGGGGGGGGGGAGTAAACTGAAGAGACCAGCTTATTGGTTTTCTTGGCATCTGCTCCAGATTCTGTCTGCTCCAGTTTTGATAAATTACCCTCCACATCTCTGCTGCCTGCACCTGGTTGTTTAAACACTACAGTCCAGATTAAGTCTAGAGTCTGTAAATCCAAACTCAATAGTGCATGCAAAGACTTAATCTCATTAAATGCCAAACTCCAGTCTAAATCTTCTTTTTCAGTTTTGGATAGTGTGGAGAAAGGTTAGAACCTTGGTTTAGTTTTGGTTGGTTTCTGTGGAGAAAGTTCACTTTTTCCTGTCCCAGAACAGGTCATGAGGGGATAGCTCCTTAATGGAAACACAGAAAGTAATAAAGACCTGACAAAGGCCATGCTTCTGTTGCAGATATTTTTTTTACTTCCTCTTCACCTGTCAACTTTCCAATGTATTGGTTGGACTTGGGCTTTAAACATCCACATAAGCATATAATAGTTTAACAAAATACACTTCTAGAGGCTCAATAACATTAAAATTGCTGAATTGTTCACCAGGTGGCGGATCCAGCAACAACCCTTGCACTGAGACCTACAGAGGACGTGCTGCCCATTCTGAACCCGAAGTCAAGGCTATTGTGGACTTTGTGAACAGTCATGGTAACATCAAGGGATTTGTTTCAATCCACAGCTATTCTCAGATGCTCCTCTATCCCTATGGATATACCACTGCTACCATCCCTAACCAAGCTGAATTGGTATGCTCAATGAGCTTTTCTTACTTTTCTATGTATTATTTTACTTACAGTTAACCCATTTTTTTCTGCAAAAGTTGTCTCTAGAAGCAGAATGTCTAGAAACAATCACTGAAAAATGTTTGCCTTGTTTTCTACACAGAACACCGTGTCTAGAAACGCAATTAATGCTTTGGCCTCCCTCTATGGCACCTCATATACCTATGGAAGCATCATCAGCACCATTTGTAAGTACTTTCTTAATACACTTAATAGCACTTCCATGGCAGTTAGCAAAATGCCAAAGAATCCCTTTCAAATTCAACCTGCAAAATCCTTCAGCTTTCTCCAGCGCCATCAGCAATTATGTTTTTTTTTTCTTGCAGACCAAGCCAGTGGTGGGACCATTGACTGGACCTACAACCGGGGTATCAAGCACTCCTACAGCTTTGAGCTGCGTGACACTGGTCGTTATGGCTTTGCTCTTCCAGCTAACCAAATTATTCCCACTGCTCAGGAGACCTGGCTGGCCCTTACCAAGCTTATTGAGCACACCCGTGACAATCCCTATTAAACTATAATATAGTTGATGCAATAAAAATTCATTGCCATCCTGAAATGACTTGCATTTGCCTTCATTTTAAATGTAAACTATATCGGTGTTTGGCTACTTTTTCGTTTTTTTTAGCTTACAAGTATTTAAACAGTTTTTGTGTACAAATAAACACATACAGTCTTTATGTTACAAATAAATATTCAAGTACATCTAAACCCAAAACATGACTTTAGCTTTGGAAAGAGAGGGGAAGGTTCAGCAACTCTGCCAGGTTTGTATTGCTATTATACTCTCTATTTGTCCTGGTGACCATTTTAACTGTGACTTAAATTAAGAGAAAATCAAAAATTTTCAGTTGTCATCGAAACACGAATAGAGGGAAAATCTTCCAATCTGGACTGTCTGAGAGGAGGCTTCCCTCTGTTTTAAAGTTTTTCCTTTTGTGTCTATAGCACAATAATTTAAGGGAAATCTCATTAATGGGGCACAAATGGCAAAAAAAACTTTGCCTTTTTAGCCAATCCTTGCTCTTTCAAAAAAAGGAAAAACAAAAAGTTTCAATTTTAGATATATTTTAATTTTTAGGTGTGTCCAAGACACTCAGTTTTGAAAGAATGCTGGGCTTCTAATTGGAAAACGCAACATTTCCTTCATGTTTGTTGGCAGCCTATGTAAACTAATACTCTTGTCCCTACTAGAGCACTCAGCCTCTGTACTGAGTGCTTCCCATTCACTGAGGCTGCAGAAAAAGACGTTTAGGACTCTGTGTCCTCAATTTCTTTTTCTATTTCAAAAGGGAAATGTCAGGGGTTCCTAATATTTCCCTGAAGCCCCACAATAGTCAAATAATAATAAATAATAATTAAAAAATAAATTAAAAATGTGTACATTTTTAAAAATATTATATATACGCCTGTATCATTTTATCACAACACAAACACAGCACAAAAACCATTTATAACATAAAGCGCCTATTTACAGTTTAGCGTTCCTTAATTTTTTATAATCCCCCTTTCCTCAGCCTCTCATGGTGTGGCAGTATTAAAGTAAAGTGTTAGGCCTCATTCAGGCGCCATTCACACCAGGGCGGAAGCGTTTCACCGTGGTTTCCGCGTGATTTTTGAAAGAGCATTTTTGGCTGTTTTTATTCGCGTTTCAGAGCTGAGACACAATTAAAAATGCTCAATAACGTGCTGATTAGCATATTTCTATTAAAATGGGGGCGGGGTTTCGTTGTGGGGGGGGGGCTTAAATTTTTTTGCTATGGTGCTATGGGGCCCTGGGATTTCTAGTTACGCCCCTGGAAGGGACCCAGCAGACTCCACCAATTGCAGGCTGTCTGCAGAAAACTAGAGTCTCTCCCATTCTATGGAACTCTCTACCCCAACCTGTCCGTCTATCTCCCACACTGACTGCCTTTAGGCGATCCCTTAAGACTCATCTCTTCAGGGAAGCCTATCCCACCTCAACCTAAACACTGAACAATCACTTTCTCAAACAATCATCCCCACACAGCTAACTCCTCATGTATCACTTGCCCCTCCCTTTTAGATTGTAAGCCCTCAGGGGCAGGGCCCTCCTTACCATCTTGTCTTGAATTGTATTGTGATTGTAATGTTTTCCTTATATTGTAAAGCAATGCGCAAACTGTTGGCGCTATATAAATCCTGTATAATAATAATAATAACTACAGGAGGGGAAGGGTACAAGACCACTTACCCTGCACAAGGAGAGAGAGCAGCAATGACTGGTCTTCATAACAGAAAGGGTCTGTAAAGAGGCAACGTTTCAGATTGGATTACTGCACAGATATGGAAGAAATACACAAAGCACACCAAGCTTTATGTAAGAAAGCACATACCTCTTGTATTTAGACAATATTATCACAGAGTTTTGTTTTCAATATATGATCAAAATATTGAACAGTGATCTCCTAAAGCTGGAAAATTACATAAACATAATTTTCACATAAATGGTACAATAAAAAGCCAAATGTGTCTCTGATTGAAGGTCATGTGTCCACTGTTAACAGGCAAGAGATGCATTCTGGTAGAGCCATTGGTCGGATGGCAGTCACCATCTGACTGCTCCTGCTCCCTAACTTAAAGCAACACTAAACTAAAATCTTAAAAATGCATTCAATCAACGTAACTAAATATTATTTGTGTATCGCTCGGCTCTAGAACCTCAAATCATCTCTGAATTGGTGCTGACACTATCCTTCCTTCTGGAGGGTGGCTACTTTTGTTCTGTAGTTGCTGGAAGACTGCTCAGGTAAGCCTGCACTTTCCCCCACATGGTGCTGTATTAATGTATTGCTGGGATAGCGGGATTTGTATTGCTCTATAGCTGATGGTACATTGTGATGTATATTATACAGCGTTATGTACCCTCAGCTATAGAGGAATACAAATCCCACCAATAAATTATACACTGTATGTATTGCTGGGATTTGTTGTATTCCTCTATAGCTGGTGTTATTCTGCATTGCGCTGTATAATGTATTATTGCTGGGATATGTTGTATTCCTCTATACAGCGCAATGCAGAATGCCACCAGCTATAGAGGATTACAGATCCCAGCAATAGTACATTATACAGCGCAATGCCGAATACCACCAGCTATAATGTACTATTGCTGGGATGTGTTGTATTGTATTCCTCTATAGCTGGTGGAATTCCGCATTGCGCTGTATAATGTATTGCTGGGATTTGCAGTCATCTATCGTCGGTGCCATTCTGCATTGATTGCGTATAATTTTATACTTTCCATTTCACTATATTGCACACCACACTTTTGTTTTTTTTTACTTCCACCGCTCCAAGCTTGCTCCTGTGATGGACTACAATCTCAATAAAAACTAGTAGTCCATCACTGCAGCCATTTTTTTTAATCCGATTAACCGATTAATCAAACTTAATAATTAGCTAACTAATCAATTTTGAAAATAATCGTTAGCTGCAGCCCTAGATGTTACTGGCTCAGTGTTCTCTGTACAGCACTGTGGCATATGCCAGAGCTATATAAATGTATAATAATAATAGTGTGTGACTGTGGGGGAACATTAGAGTGTAAGCTGCTCTGTACAGAGACTGATGTGACTGGCTCAGTGTTCTCTGTACAGCACTGTGGCATATGCCAGAGCTATATAAATGTATAATAATAATAGTGTGTGACTGTGGGGGAACATTAGAGTGTAAGCTGCTCTGTACAGAGACTGATGTGACTGGCTCAGTGTGTCGGCGGTAGGGGAAGGTGGTGCAGGGGGTGGGGCCAAGGCCTAAAGCTGTGTAAAGGGCCCCAACATTTCTGTTGTGCTGCCCTGCTCACACATGTGGTATACTCAGGAGGAGTAGCAGAATGTGTTTTGGGGTATAATTGTAAGCATGTCCATGCTGTGTGTGAGAATGTACTTGTTAAAATGAAGACTTTGTGCAGTAAAAATCAAATTTTATTTACTTTCTTCATTTTACCCAAAAAATTGTGGCAAAAAATTAGAACCTAAAATAACGCATCATGCCTCTTTACTAAATACCTTAGGGTGTCTATAGTCCAAAAAATGGTCATTCTGGCGGTGTTTACTGTCCTGGCATTTTAGGGGCTCAAGAAATGAAATGAGCAGTCAGAACCTCAGAGCTGAAAAATAGAGATATACACATACCATAGTTTATAGACTCGATAGCTTTCATACAGACTAAATAATACCCACTTATTTGGGTTTTTATCAAAGAAATGTAGCAGAATACATTTTGGTCTAAAGGAAAGATAACTTCTTGCAAAGTTTTTTATAATAGAAGGTAAGGGAAACAACTTTTTTTTTTTTCAAAATGTTCGGAATTTTTCCCTTGCATATTGAAAATAATGTGCCTCATAAAAATGATAAAAAAAATCCATTTGGGTTGAGTGTTGCATGTAATTGTCAATCAATGTATCATAGCGCTGAAAAAAATGGCCTGGACAAGGAGGGGGTTTACAGTAGTATTAAACTTTTAGGGCCGATTCACACCAGATGCGTTGAAGCTTCTTGGCCATTATTTCCAGTGCAGCCCCAACGCAAGAAAAGGCAATTTGCCTTGTCACGTACGGGCTTGGTTCACACTACCATGTTGTAATGGGAACACAGTGGTGTGAGTGAGTATATGCCAGTTAGTTTAAGACTATCTAGCTACCTATGTACATATTTATAGACGGGTATCATAGTTACATAGTATTTGAGGTTGAATAAAGACATTAGTCCATCAAGTCCAACCTATTAGGATCTCATTCAAATGGGTGGGTCATATCAATGGGTGCAATGGTGCCTCTTCCACAACACCACCATTATGGATATATAGTTTATGATTTGGGGGGCTTTGTTGAGGGTAGGAGCTCTACCTCCACCAAGGAACGCTTTAGCTATAATAGGAATCTCAGGTTAAGAGCTTCATGAAATGGACTATAAACGCAAAGTAGCTTGCATTGGAGTACAATGTTGGGGGGGTTTTTGGAGGGTTTTTTTTTCATGCTAGAATCTGGCAGGAGGCTATTTACCCATGTGATTTATGGCATTACTATGTTTTTCTTACCAGACCTTCCTGAATGCAACATGCTTACTTTCCACCTGTGGTCCCCCATTTGAGACATCACCTCCCCCTCCTTTTGGTCCCTTTCCTCCTGTTCAAGTGGTGCAAGCAGCATTGGCATCTTAATGGTTCCGTCAGGCATATATGTTATGAACATGTGCATATAATTGTATATGTTTATGTATATTTATGTATTTATTTTGAGGAATAGGTACAGTTTTGGGCTGCAACATATGTCCACTCTCCTGAAGAAGCCTCCTTGGAGGCGAAACACGTCGAGAAACGCACACCCACCACAGTATTCCATATAGGGACTTCTTATGCCGTTGTGCAAGTTGTAATACATTCATATTACGTGCCTATAATATATTTGTGTGTGGGATTACGGGAGATATGACCACTTACCTTTAGGGCTCGTTCTCACCAGTTACAGTGCGTTCCAGAGCGGTTAGCTGCGGGAACACACTGTATCGCACACAAAACTCCACCCTGCGTTCTGGGATGGGAGGGGGTGTGGTGGTGCATGCAGGTCAATGGCACTGCAGCCACGCCCCCCCCCCCCCCCCCCCATTCTTTGTACGTGGCAAAACAATATCTGCGTTATGGTCCAGTGCGATCGCAAAAAAATGCAGCATGCATTTCATCTACCCACCTCCCTCTGCTCTGATTGTATGCACGAAGACCAGCCACCCCCGTTAGGGGGAAATGAGTCACATACAAACCTCCTCAATGGGGGTTACATAGAGAAATAAACATCTAATATAACTTGTAACAATCAAGGCCGGATTTCCCACAGGGCCAACAGAGGCCAGGCCTTGGGGCAGCAGGGAGTAGAGGGGCAGCAGGGGGGGGTGGAATTCCTATCTCCCGACGCCCGGGCGGGTAGTCGTTTTCTACATTTAGCCCTGCTTTGGGCAAACAGGGCTAAATGTACAGCAGGGAAGCCGCCACTTGTTTTGCACAAGTGATCTTGGCAATGTCATCCTCCATACAGGGGGGCGCATTCAGGAACCTGGCATTGGGGCAGCAGAGAAAGTAAATCCGACCTGGTACCAATCATCCACTTAAACTCCCAAAATGGCTTGAGATAAACTTTAATGTTGTGTGGCATACTTCTGAAACAACAACCATTCATATTTCATGTTACTTTAGTCAGCTATGTGAAAGATCCATTTTGATTGCACGCTACTGCTTGCTGACCTTGCTAATCCAGTGAACACAGACGTGGGGGCTGAATGACATGGATTCCATGGCCTGCTGCACAGCTATGAGTCTGTACAAAACAATGGGACTCTACTTCTCTGATCAGTGACCAGTTGATGCGGGAAACGGCAGCGGAGAAATTCGGCCCCCGGGCAGACAGGCGGGAACAGGCAAAGCCACAAAGCCGGCTGGCCACGGCGTCCCCGTCGCTTAGCAACCACAGCGAACTGTCATTAGCCGTGCGAGCCACGCCTCCTCACCAAGGAAGGCCGATTTTCAGTGGCTGGAAGCGAACAGGGAGCCAATCATCGTACACGTTGTAGAGGGGTGATGAAGCAGAGGCGGCAGAGAGATAGAGCTTGCTGGTGATTGAGGCTGCTTGTGTCTGACTTAGTCATGTCTGCCAGGAGGCATATCGGGGACGCAGAGGTGAGCGCTGACAATTAAGGGGATACAAGCTCCTAGGTCTTGTTTGGAAACCAATTATTTAGGGAAAGGCTGGCAGACATTGTACACACAGGATATACCGCAGTGATATGGATCTACTGCTTGTATGAATGGCTGACTGAGAGAATAAGTAGGGAGCAGTGCTATATGTGTGCTTGATATAGGCTAGGTAAATGATGGAGAGATCGGTGCACTACATGAATGACTGTAGGATTTGCTGAGTGCTAGAGGCAAATGTGTCTATAGCAATCAGGTAATCCAGTGAGTTCTAGATCAGCAAAGTGATAGATAATAAGTGCATGAGTGGAATTTACTATGAATGGAGCAGCTGTTCACGACAACCAATCAGATTCTAGCTTTCGTTTTTAAAGCTTAAAGGAGAACTATGAAAATCACTCATCCTCATAGTTCGACAATTAAACTGTCACACGTCGGCTCAATAGATCGGGAAGTGAGCGAACACATACCGTCGCTCGCTTCTTGATCCTGTCCCTGCTGTGACTGTGAGTCACGGCTCCCTGCAGGGATTCACCCCCCCCCCCCTCTCCGATACTCCAGTGCTGACTGGAGGAAAGGACGGGGGAGGGGACGGGTACAGCTGGCTCTGCCTCCAGATAGGCAGAGCCAGCTGTTGCTCACACAGCTGGGTGGATCTCAACAGTAATGTCGGGATCCGTCCCAGCTGCGGCGGTCTCAGTATACCGTGAGCTTAGCTCGTGATATACTGAGCTTTGGGTGATGGGAGAACGCTAGTTTATGTCCTCCCATGACCCTTAGGAGAACTATGGGCAAAAACACTTACCCCATATTTCCCTTTTAACTGTACAAACTGAAGACGAAGCTGATTGGTTACTATGCACAACTGCTCCAGTTTTAGTAAATTCCCCTGCCCAATGTTTTTGCTCAGGTGCTTAGTCTCATGTTGTAATATTGGGAGCTCTGGGGGTCTGTTCCAGGAACCCGTCTGTTTGTATTCCAGTTATTTTTGTCCAGCAGATGTGATTTCCTTCAAGACAAATTCCCTGAGCCCAGAGGGGGCTATCATCTGGTTCCCTGTGGGGAATTTCAAGAATGGGGGCATCTAGACTGAAATGTTGTAGTGTTTGTAGTATACCATGATAAAAAGTGGGTGACGTTGCTTCTCATTACCCATTTAGTTTACCTGTATTACAAAAATCCTCTTTGAATCAGAACTATAGTAAATATGATGGGATGGTGGAACATAAAAATCAACCGTATGCTTAAAAAATAAAATAAAAATAGATTAGTTAAAACATTGATAAACAAAATGATGTTCCAAAATCATAACGTGCTTATAATATATTATTGTTAAAGTGAGGGGAGGGAACAGCCCTCCAGCGCTGCGCTCCTCCCTGGCAGGCTGCTCCATCTTCTTGGACCGGGGAGTTCTTCTTCCAGGTTCCGATTCTTCAGCTGACCAGGCCCTGATGCCGTAAGTCACACGCATGTGCATGGGAGTTACTGCATCTCGGCCAGAAGCTGCCCTTTCTACCTCAGCCTCTCACTCCTTGAATAAGACCTTTGTACAGGAAGTGTCCCATGTAGCTCCCCTGTGGGGGTCTGAATCTGGTTCTCTCTGTACTCACCGAACCCATTAGATGCATTCCTCTCTCTCCTCTCAATGACAACGTGGTATTCCATATAACCATCACCTCTGTAAGGCGAGGGTCTGATGGCCTTATTCTGCCTTTCACCTCAACCAGGACATCATTCTTTCGTTCCTTTGTTCAGCAATTGGAAATTTTACTCCATTGTCTGGATGTGGTTGGGGCTGTAAGTCTCACTCTCAGCCACTGCTTCTTTCAGAAAGACTAATTTACATTCTCTCATCCCAGATGGTCCCTATAAGGGTACACTGACTTCTTGCCACTGGAATGGGTTGTGGCATCAAGCAACTGTTTCCAAGATATGGAAGGCTGCCACTTGGTCTTCTGTCCACGCATTTTCTAAGTTCTGCCAGGTGGGTGTTCAGGCCTCATCTGATGCCAGCTTCGGGCAATAGGTCCTTCAGACAGCTCTTCCGTTCTCTTTTTTCTTGGACCTGTTACTGTTTGTTGTGTTACCCGCCCCTCAGTTGGACTGATTTTGGATGTCCTGAAGGTGAAAGATTTCCCCAGATGAGTAAGTCAATAGGGTTTTTGTGCACACAGTAAAATCCTTTTCTTGGAGTCAGTTGAGGGACACAGGTCCCACCCCTTCTATGTTTATAATCATACTCTTAGTACTGCTTTGATACAAAACTGAGGCATGCAGGTAGTGGTAGTAGTAGTAGCAGGGGGTATCCTGGACTGGCCTACAGTTTTTTTTTTTGTTTCCCATAGTCCAATTCTTCTGTGGGCAGCAATATAACCGAAGGTGGAAGAAATCCGTCCAGGGGACTCCAAGAAAAAGATTTGAGCATAGTACAAAAACCCTATTTTACAGTAACATTTATCCTAATAAGTGTAGTGTGAATGTTCATCTCCCTGAATATTCACCTGACACTCCCTCTGCCTGTTTTTACTAAAACTCAATGATTCATTTTTATTAGAGGTGCACCGGAATGAAAATTTCAAAGACAAAATAAAAAAAGTCAGGCCGAAATCAAAAATGTTTTTTTTATTTTTACTTTTTCAATTTCTTTTAAATATTCAATTTTTATTTATTTTATATAAACTTTTTAATTTTTTTGATATTTATTTTTATTTAATTTTTTATCAAATATTTTTATTTTTTACTTTACTTTTAGGGGGTTTGGGGACATTTTAGTGGCCTAAAAAGACCCCTGATATTTCCCTTTCAAAAAAGAGATTGAGAACCTCTATCTCTTTTTCTGCATCCCCTGTTATAAATGAACAGGAATCCTCTACACTGAGTGTTCCTGTTCATTCATAACATGAGGACAGAGTATGTTTACTATAAGCACAATTTATTAATAAACAGGAGATGTAGATCACTTCCCATTCATTCATAATTGAGGATATAGTAAACATTCTCTGTCCTCAATTATTTACACTCAGCGATCACTGACTGCTTGTACTGCTCTCCATCCTGACTCGCTGTCACAGGAGGCTGAGCGAGCGGTGCAGGGAGGAGAGACACCAGCCGCTCACAGCGCTCTCCTCCCGCAGCACTTGGCCGCCTGCGACAGTTTCTCTCCTCCCTGCTGGGACACAGAGCAGCAATCTGACCCCTCTCTCCCAAAACAGCATAGTCTGGCACACCAGCCATGTAGGCTTGTATGAGCAGGGAGGTGAGTGCTTTGGGAAGGTTATTCCCACAAAATGGGGGTCCCCTTCCCAAAGCAGTACTGTCCGCTACTGACAGGCCCACGGCTCTTTTTACCCCTGGTGCCCAGGATGGGGAGCCAGGTAGGGGTGGGGCTTACATACCCTACCTGTACCCCATGGGAGGTAAGTTATTGACCCCTCCCTGGTGAACCAGTTTTAGAGGTCCCTCAGACCCCTAACTGAGGGAGCGTGTAGTGAGTTTAAAGCAAATAAACTCAACAGAGCAGAGCCCCACAGGAGAGAGGGTCACGGTTTCCCTCCTCCTCATTGCTCAAACTCTGTGCAATGAAAAAGTTTCTGCCACTGGAATTTTAAAGTAATATTTAACTCCCAAACATCTTTTCAATAACAGAGGGGGGTAATTCTCAGACAGTAACTTCAGGACAGTAAAATCAGCAAGCGCCGCAAATATATATAGAAAATATTATTGCCAAGAATTCTCATTATTGATTATAATCAATGTAATCGTTTAGTTGTTTCAGCCCTAGTTATGTAACGTGTGGCGTAATCGTTGTTTTGACACGTAGGTCCACCCGACACTCATTTAGGTTAATATGTGCGCGCAACTTAAATTTGTTATTGGTGCTTTTTGTCTTGAATTCATTTTTTTTTCAACTTTCCGACATACTTGGCAGGGTTTTATTGCACTTATCACGCAGATAAAATAAAACAATTTAAATAGTATATTTGAGAGACCAAAAGGGAGCAAACAAAAGAAGGTTTTTGTTATGGATTACACAGGTTTCTAATACTGGTAATTTATACTCCGTAGACAGAATGTTGTGAGCAGACAGATAGAATTGAGCTGAAAATATTGGACTTTAGGAGACCTTTATCTCCCAGGGGACCAGGGACGTAATTAGAAATCACAGCGCCCCATAGCAAAATTTTGTATGGGGCCCTGTGACTTCTAGTTATGCCCCTTGCAGAGCCCACTTGAGATCCCACGCAGCCCACCGGAGGGTGACCCTGAGGGAATTAGGGAAAAATGTATGGCCAGCTTTAAAAGTTTATTGCATGTTGATTTCATTGTTCCTTTGCTATTGTAATTTTGCATTAACAGCTCACCCTCTGACATTTCAGGCTAACAACTCTATAGCATTGGTGTCAGTCAATGTTTTCCAAGTTTCATTAGATGTGACTTGACATTGGGTTATTTATACAGCTTTTGTTTTGTAGTGGCCTTTAAGTGACAAAGCTTTCATTGTAAATATACATTGATCACTGAGGTTGTCAGCTGATACACTGGTGTGTGAAGGTATGAATTGTATGTAGCATACAAACGACTAATAAGTGCAAAATATGCATTGTGGTGAAGTAAACTCTAGAACGGGTTATCTCTCCAATCTGTAGTTCACTAGGATTCTTTTTCAGTGTACAAAAGGTACCATCATTTTACAATCTGTTGGGGCTTATATGATACAGAATGGTTAAAAATATGTGATTGTGTAATATAAATATAGGCAGGCATTAAATAAATGAGCAGATGGGGGCGTGGCCGAGCATGGCGTGCTAAAGACGTGCCGAATGGAGCTCTGCGACCCCGGGGCTCGATTCAAGTAAATATCTCATTACCTGACCTCTCCACGCAGTGGATGTCCGCGCGGCTGCCTTCCCCTTCAGCTCCGGAATCCGCCGGTACCCGGGACATCGCCTCCTTTTTCGTCCGTGGCCCGAGACCTGCGCCCGTAGTGACAGGCCGCGACATGCCGCCTATAGTTTCGGCCAAGCCGAAGGCCGCTGGGGACCAGACGCCAGCACTCCCGCAGGGAAGCGGTTAGCTCACAGCTAAAGCGGCCCGTTCCAAACTGACGGCTCAGCCAGCTCCCTCTACCTCCCAGACTGCTATGGAAGCCCCACTCTCCCCTGCCAGCTCCCAGGACAGCTCTCCAGGTCCATCAATGCCCGCAGCCTTACTGGAGTCAGAGGGGGGCCGGGTCAGGGAGTCAGGGACCTGCTTGCAGCATTTAGAGCTGATTTTGACTCATGGACAGCCAGGTTGGAAGGCGCCCTTAGAGGTGAGATGTGCGAGCTACGCCAGCAGGTTGCCAATGGTGACAGCAGGGTCTCTGCTCTGTCTACCACTGTTTCCTCGCATGCTGCCCGCCTTGATGCCATGGAAATCACCCAGGCCGCCCATAGATCCCATCTCCAGCAAATACAACTTCGGGTTGAGGACGGGGAAAACCGCAGTCGCAGGAATAATATACGGCTAAGGGGGATCCCTGAGGCCACCCAGGGCCCACATCTCCATGCTACAGTTAACGCTATCCTTAACTCCGTACTGGGGAAGCCCCCAACTGAACCTATTGAACTGGACCGAGTACACCGGGTTGCTGGCGCTGGTATAGATCATCAAAACTTCACTAGAGACGTTCTGTGCCGGGTCCATTTCTACAACGTTAAGGAGGAGATCCTACGTTGGGTGTGGCGGTCGAGACCAGTTGACTTCGACGGGGCCACGATACAGCTGATGTCGGATCTTTCCCGTCTGACACTGGCCATGCGCAGGTCGGTCAAACCTCTTCTGATTTTGGTGAGGACGAGTGGGAGAGGTCTTTCGTTCTCTCACACTCCCTCTCCATCGCCAGTAAAGCCCACGAGAAGAACCTGAAAATTCTAACCAGATGGTATAGATGCCCAGCAGTGCTACACCGTTACTACCCGCAAGTACCAGACACCTGTTGGCGTTGTCTGACCTCCTCGGGCCATATGACTCACATCTGGTGGAGCTGTCCCCGATCAAGGAGTTCTGGCAAAAAGTGCTGGATGTCTATCACTGAGTGACGGGTTCAGTGACCCCTAATGATCCCAAGATTACCCTGTTGTCTATGATACCAGGCTCCCCTGCAAATAGGCCAGGCTGGCCCGGATTGCCTCGCTATGCCCGATGGCAATCCGGGCTGGCTACATTTAGGCAGAGGTGGCCCTCTAATCAGGCATATTAGAAGGCCGCTCGCTGGTGCCTCTTGGGGCCCTAGTGAGGAGTGAGCAGCCGCCTGATTAGAGAGCCATGTCTGTTGTGCCCGCAGCCACTATTGAGACTCTCTGGACCCCTGGTGAGAGTCGGCACTGTCCGCCTGAGAGCAGGAAAACAAGCTCAAGGCTCCCACTGATTTTGCATTATAGTGAGTTGTATAATTATTTCATTAAATATTACAATGTAATAATAATAGAATAGGGCGGGGAAACATTTTCTTCCATGAAATCAGCCCCCGGTTGCCAAAAAGGTTGGTGACTGCTGCTTTAGCGGAACCTTTCTCAACCAGGGTGCCTTCTGGCTTTGTCAGGGGTGCCTTCAAATTTTTGCAAAAGATGGGGATTCCGATGTGATGGGGGCTACAGATGTAAAGGGGGAAACTCCATGTCATCGTTTTTTCGCGTTTAGAGCAGGGCATGGGAAGCAAAGGGAATGTATAAACAAAGAGGTTATGGTGAGGTGGGTTTAAAGGAACCAAAATCCCTCGATAAACCAATGCGAAGCATAGTAAAGGGCCTTCTTAAAATAAAAGGTACATCACAAATCCCAAAAATAAGGGTTTTCTCCCTAATTTTAGTATGATCAGTAAAGCCATGCAAATCATTTATTTTTGTCCTTTGGCCAAGTGTACATATACAACCTCTGGTTTATAGTACAGATACAGCCTTAAATTATTGAACGTTCTACTATATTTTATATTCTAAACTGCATACAACTGTTTTGAATGCCTTCTTTTAGTACTTGTGTTTTACCATATGCAACATTTAACCTTTTCCACTCATTATCTGATACTCTTTCAGATTTTAAAGAAAAGAATTCCTCAGAATCCAAAGTACCAGCATGTCAAGTCAAGGCTTGATACAGGTCAGTCCTCTATGTGAACTATATGGAAAGTATTAGCCAGCCTGACTTCCTCTACAATACATCATACTGCATGCAAAGAGAAAGTTGATCCTAAGTGTTGTTCAGGTTGTGCTGCATATTGGCATCTTCTTCAAGGGTTTGTCAAGAGTGATCTTTGTTCATTTAAACATGAATGAATGTTGCCCAGTGCTTAATGTACCATGGATGCAGATGCAGCAAAAAAACCAAACCTTACTGTGTCTGGCTGAACTGTCACGGAGATCCCATCGTGATTTCTGTCAACACTGAAAAACAGTGCTCTACCAGTAATATAGTAGAAGTAAACCACTGTGTGAAGGGGGTGCTATTTCCCTAATGTGCATACTTGCCTTACATGTGTGCCCTTCTCCAGCACTGTTGGATCACTCTTCTTTACCCCGACACCGCCATACCTACTGCCCACCCTTCCTGGTTTCCAGGCATCCTCTATGGCCACAGGGTAACCCCTGATAATGAAAGTCCTGTGCATACGACCCATTCATGTCCTCTTGGAGAGATGAGCTTACCCCTGTACATGTACCGTATACTTAAAAGAAGAAAGATTGCCAAATAGTCTCATGAATGAGCGATTTATCTCTTTCTCCATTTAGGACTATGGAAGAGAAGTCGTATGAGATTTTGGAGCCCTATTCAGCCCACCTACTCTGAGCCCAGGTTGTCTTGGACCCACCCCAGCCTGTGCCCGGAATGTAAAAAGAGAAGCAGCAAAGTGATGAGCTCACTCTGCTCTCACCCCTTGTCAGCATATAAACTGATTGGCTCATTGTGCTGACTCTACCTCTCACACTCTAGCCCTGCTGTACTGCAAAAGTTTGAGAACGGGTCAATTTCAGGTACTTGCACTGCTTGCATTTACAAAATGTTATGATGTTTACCCCTAAAACTTGGAGTTTAGATTTAAATGCAATAAAATGAAAGTATCTGAATTTGATTTAATATTTTTGCAGTTGTACAGCAGAACTTAGACTGGGGAAGGGAGTTGTTATACAAGGAGTCTATCAGGTGTTCTGCGGTAGGAGGGATGAGCTCATCGGTCTGCTACTTCTTCTTTCCCTGTCCAGTCACAGGCTAAAGAAGGGACCAGAAAGTGTAACTTAAAGGAGAACTATGGGGTTAAGGCTTTTCCCCATAGTTCTCCTTAGGGTAACGGGAGGACACAATCTAACATCCTCCCATCACCCTAAGCTCAGTATACCGCCAGCTAGAGCTGGCGGTATACTGAGACGCCACTGTATACCGCGAGCTACTGCGGTATACAGAGAGGTATGAGATGCTGAAGCGGATCCCGACAATTATGTCTGGATCCGCCCAGCTGCGTGAGTGACGGCTGGCTCTGCCTATCTAGGGGCAGAGCCAGCTGTACCCGCCCCACTCCGATCCGCCAGTCAGCGCTAGTGGAGCGGGGAGGGGGGAATCCAGCCCCTCCCCTGTCACGGCAGAGACCTGTGACAGTGTCATTGTCACAGGCCGACTAGAACTATGAGGTGAGTGAAAAGCACTCACCTCATAGTTCTCCTTTTAACTGCAGCAGGGGGAAATCTCTCATCTATGTGTTTAGCTGTCTGCATGGCATTCAGCTTTAAATCCTAGCCTAAAGGATGGGGAACCAGCCTAACTGATCTGCAGCAAGGACCTGGTCTCTGCCTCAAGCCCTTTTCTTAACAGGCTCTTTAATTCGCACAGCCAATTGCAACCTACAGAAAGAAGTAGGGCTTCCACTATGAGAATGCTCTGCACCTTGGGACCATTGCCTTGTAATAATGATACTCCCTAATGGACGGAGTGTCATCAGTATACTCACAAAGGCTTATTTGTGAGCAGCAACTGTGATATCTTGTTTAATAATAAACTATAAATATCTTTAACTCTGGCTTTCACAGTGAGAGCAGCTCTGTGTTGTCCTCATATCCTGCATTTTATTTTAAACGCATAGAAAAAAATCAGGAAAATGTGACACTTGTCCTGTGCTGCCCAGTAGATTTATTTTGCACAGTCATCAAACAGGTTAAACTATTTGGCACTGTGTGTTCGCTGGTGACGGTGTATTAAAAGTTGCTGGCTACTGTTGCTAGTGTGCTCCAACAAACAGGCCATTAGACAGAGCTTGCATGACTGACTAATAAAGAGACTCTTCTCTGCATTTATCTCAGGTCATCTTACAGTACTGCAGAGCACCTTGAGAGATGACAAAACCCTCCAGGTCCAAAGCTTTGACTCTGATATGTCCTTGTATTCTTTTTTTTTTTAATAAAAGGAAGTTCCACCTTTCAAAAAATAAATGCACACTTCATAAAATTAAAAGAATTGCATGTATTATTTTTTGAATAGGAGCCAGTAAAGCATTCCAACCACAATCTGTGGATCGTGGGTACAATGCTCTGGCTCCTATAGACTCTTCCTCCTGTCCATGTCTGTACCAAGGTACGGACATTCAGTAACATGGAGTGGAGGAAGTGTCAGTGGACTAAAGGTGTGGTGACATCACCAAACTTGTATTCCATTAAGGACGGGACCTTCCCTAAAATGAGGCAGAGGACAATAGCTCTTAGTAACCTGTGGCTCTGTCCACTCTGTCTGGCTTCCCATTCCCACCTAGCTCACTGACATCATCAGTTGCCATGGAGCTGAGTGGGACGCTCTGGCCGGCGTCCCGCCGAGCTTCTGGGAACCAGAGACATCAATGAGCTGGGGGGGGGGACCGGAGAGAGAGCCGCTGACGAGCACGGCTCTAACACAGTCACCTGTCCTACCGCATTAGTCACCACCCCTGCCCCCACCAAGCAGCTCAGCAGCAACCCAATCCCCCAAATATTTGACCCTAAATATGGGTGGAACTTGAAACATGGTCAGAAAGGTAAACTAAGCCTTTAATTTTTTTTATTTAAAAAATAATACAGAAAACAGCAAAACTTCCAACAAGCAAACAATTACTCCTTCCCCTTTAAAACATCAATAACTTAATTTGTAGTATCTTATTAAAACTAGAGGTGCACCGGAATAGAATTTTCGATGCACCTCTAGAAAACCAAAAATTATTTTATTTTCTAAATTTTAAATTTTTTTTTTCTTTACTGTCGTGGGCTCTGGGGAAATGTCAAAGGTCTAACTAGCCCCCTGATGTTACCCTTTTGAAATAGAAAACGAGATTGAGGACACTTCTTCTGCAGGCCTTGCTATGAATGAACAGGAAGCCTCTATACTGAGTACTCCTGTCCATTTATAAACTGGAGATAGCATAAGTTACCATGTTCAAAATTATGAATGAACAGGAAGTGATGTAGAACACTTCCTGTTCATTCATAATTGGGGATGCTGTAAACATACTTTGTCCTAAATTTATTTACAAGCACTGAGCGCTTGTAACCCGTTCTCCATCCTGACTCGCTGTCACAGGAGGCTAAGCGCGGTGTGGGGGGGGATAGCTCAGCCGCCTGTGACACGGCTGACAACTGAGTTCTCCCCTGCACCGCTGGCTCGGCCTCCTGTGACAGCTGACAGCTGTCTCCTACCTGCACCGCTCTCCATCCTGGTATGCCCGTCACAGGAGGTCGAGCCGGGCGGTGCGTGACGAGAGCTCGGCCTCTTCTGACAGCACTCTCCTCCCCGCCCCGTTCAGCCTCCTAAACAGTTTCTCTCCTCCCCACCTTACCCTGCTCTGTGTCAGAGGGGACATATAGCAGTGGCCAGCAGGGAGGAGAGAAACTAAGGAAGCACAGCGTTTTCAGCCCAAAAATTGTACTTACGGCATTTTACAGAAAGTACCCTTTTTGGACAATATGTTTCGGCGGCTTAAATTTCGGTGCATCCCAAATTAAAACCCTACTCTTTGTTGAAGCGGATATGTCTGCAGAATTTACACCAGCATTTAGTATCCTTCCTGTTACAGGTTAGAGTTCTCGCACACATATAATCACAGAAATCCGATATAAGATAACGGGACAAATGCCTCTGTAGATCCATGACCCAAGTGGATCTTCTTTTTAGCCTCCTGCTGAGTATCATTTTCAAGACCACCAGGACCAAAATTTGTATTAAATCCTTAGCCGGGCCTTGAATTAGGTCCAGAAACACTATATTCTCGAAGTGGAGTAAAACGTTTTTAGTTAAAGCCTATCTCTGGGGGGGAAAAAAACTCCCTTCGATGTGGGGCTTCCCCTGCATTGCAAGGGTTAACTGCTCATTAATATC